GTCGTCATTGCAATGCCATGACTGTTGCGCAGTAAAGATCGCGGCTAGCTTTTGCAAAAGAGCGAACCACACCAGTTGTCCCCTGCTCTGCAGCGGGCACTCAGGCAGATCTGAGGGTTTCAGCGAGAGATAATCCGTCGCCCACAGGCCCGCAGACCTGCCGCTCCTCTAAGCGCTCCATCCAAGCTTCGGGCGGGGGAAGCGATCCGTCTAACAGATGGTAGCCCTTACGCCCGATGACACCAGAGACCGGACGTCCACTGCGGCATCGGAGGGTGGGCTTTCATTGTCCGATGATGATCCAGACCTGCTCGCCCCCTCCGGGCAGGTGAGCGCTGTCACAACGGATCCTGAAACGGACATGTTAGCCATGCTTTCCCGGGCTGCTTCGGCCGTGGGTTGGAGATGGTTTATCCCCCAGCTCCGCGACCAGACCGACTAGAGGGGCGTTCTCTTCTTCCCAGAGGTGCACAGTAGGCTCACGCAGTCTTGAAGGGCACTTTTTTCTTTCAGTTTCTGCGATTTGTGTTTGAAGGTCGAGCTTGGCAATACAAAGCCCTCCCCTTCAAGCTCTCTCTGTCTGCGTGGGTCCTCACCCAGCCCGCGGAGGGTGCCTCAGCACCCCTTCAGCTCGCGGGCTACCGCATACTCAATTTTCTTGATGACTGGCTGATTTTTGCCCACTCTCGGAGCAATTTGATTATGCACAGAGTTGATTATGCACAGAGACAAAGTGCCCCGGCACTTCCACCTGTTGGGGTTTCAGGTCAACCAAGAAAAGAGCAAACTCGCCCCCGTGCAGAGGATCTCTTCTCTCGGGCTGGAGCTGGACTCGGTCACCATGGCAGCGCGCCTCTCTGGAGAGCGTGCTCAGCTGATGCTGTACTGTCTGAGAGAGCTCGACAGTAAAATAGTGGTCCCACTGAAACTATTTCAGAGGCTCCTGGGGCATATGGCATCCGCAGCCGCTTTACGCCGCTCGGATTACTCTATATGAGACCACATCAGCACTGGCTTCTAAATCGAGTCC